GCGTTGTACACGGCACAGTTGATTTGCCAGATGTCTACATCTTCTGGAATTTCCTCATCGATGACCGCGTCCATTCTAGCTTGGTCTTGAGACTTTAGGTTAGCCCTGATGTTAAGGCTAACCCTCGTCCTTAAGTCTACACCGGTGAACTCTAAAGGATGTTCCCCATCAACTGGTAATTGCCGCGGTGGGACTGCGGCTGGCAGTTCTTCCAGCTGACGGGGTGCCCTTACGTAACCTGTCCTGAGCAGAAAGGATACTTGATCTCTCAGATGTTGTTGAGAGAAGGCGCGATGCTCTGGATGAATTTCGCACCAAAGTGCATGCATTCGCGCCATGTATCCCCTTCGCTCAGGTTCCCTACTCTCGCGGCAGGTCAGCAAGTCATCCCGAAGTTCCCTCGTCCACTTAAAGCGTCCATGTGCAATAGCATTGTCGTCATCGTTAGGACCGTCCGGTAAGGCCCCTCCCATCTGTCCTTGACCTCCATCCGACTGAGGTCGAATGTGAGGGGGCCCTTCTAAGGTTGTATGGAACCATAGCAATAGGAGTACCAGGGTAGTTAGCCCTGGTACTCCCGGTCGGCATTAGTCAGGCAGAGTTGCCTCTGCCTGTCCAGGGTGCACCAACGTGGAGGTTGCCGGTCCTTTGCACCCCTGCTTTTTTTTTTTGTTTCTCGGTTGCCCGACGCTGGACCTCCCGTGGCCTCCGACGCCTCACGGGAGTCGCGCCAGCACATTAACCTCAGCCACTCCCCACATCCCGCAGGGTTAGTGACTGTAGGTTCCGGAATCGTGTGCCCTAAGCAGACGGAGAGTATGACCGCCTTCTGCATTTGGCCTGCCAGCCACTCGGCTGATTTTTGGCAGGCCGGTAGGATCTTCAGTTCCGAGAGCAGCGTAGGCTTTATCCCTCCGAGTACACCGATTATAAGGACGACCATTTTTACCGAGTAGCCTGGATACAGCACTTGGAGCTCGTACCGGAGATCGCGATATTTGGTCCGTTTCTCCTCCTCCTTCAAGGTGATGTTTTTCTCTGCAGGTGCCGAGAACTCGATGACATACATCACCTTGAGTCGATGGTCGAGGAGGACTATGTCAGGCTTGTTGGCTTGGATTAGCCTGACAGTCGGGAACGAGTAGTTCCAGTAAATCCGGCATTTCTCGTTCTCGACAACGGACTCAATATCTCCGGGGACGTAAGGCAGCACTGGTGTCTGGTCTACCCCGTACGAGTGCCTTAGATGGTAGTATAGCACTCGTAAAGCCGCATTATGTCGGTGGATGTAGGCCGAAATCGCATATATGGGGCATGCAGAAAGTAAGTGCATGAGCGATTCCGGCGCCTGATGGCAGGTCCTGCAGTTGATATCAGGAACCTCTACACGCCACACGCGGCTGCGGTAGACCAAGGTGTTGATAACACCATCCTGGCAGGCCATAACGAATCCCTCGGTCTCTGACTTAAGCCCGGCTGACCTTAGAAAGGCGAAGGTCAGCCTGGTCGATAAACCCAGTGTTTCTATGTTCTTATATAAGACACCATGCTGGGGTTTATCGACATGCTGCCGAAACAGATTTTCCTGTTCGGCAGCTCTGATTCGGGCTTTCAGACGATTTGGCTGAAGTTCGGTGACTGACTCAGCATCAGCACCTCGCCGGCCTCCTCGCCCGATGTCAAATGTGAGACCGAGTTCATCTGCGGCTCTTTTTGCTGCCTTGAACAATCCTGCTCCCACTCCTACAGTTTCGTGATGTTTCACAAATTGCAAGAGGGGATTTGAGCTCCTGAGGAAGTTACCCTTGCTTATTATTATTATTATTTTTTTTATTTATTTATTTATTTATTTATTTTTTCGGTTTCCCCGATGCTGATCAGTCCTCCCGTGGCCTCCGACGCCTCACGGGAGTCGCGCCGGCGCAACAACTACAGCCACTCCCCACATCCCGCAGGGTTAGTGACTGTAGATACCAGAATCGTGTGCCCTAAGCAGACGGAGAGAACCCAGAATGACCGCCTTCTGCATTTGACCTGCCAGCCACTCGGCTGGTTTTTGGCAGGCCGGTATGATCTTCAGTTCCGAGAGCAGCGTAGGCTTTATCCCTCCGAGTACACCGATAATAAGGACGACCATTTTGACCGAGTAGCCTGGGTACTGCACATTTGTCCAACCCGAACTCCATACCAATTGCCTGCGTATATTCTTCGACCACCCTAAGAGCGTTTTGTAGTTCGCGCTCTCCGGAGGCATAAAGTTTAAGGTCATCCATATAAATTAGATGGGTGACCTTATGCCTCCGGTCGCTGGGTGGCCCACATTGATATCCGCGGGTTTGGCGGAGCCCAACAGACAACGGCAGCAGTGAGATGCAGAAGAGGAGAGGACTCAGGGAGTCACCCTGGAAAACTCCTCTCCTAAATGCCACCTGCCCTGTCGTGACCCGCTGTGCACCTGATGTTATGGTGAAGCGGGTCTTCCAGAGCGGCAGCAGCTGTTCTATGCATCTCACTAGTGGTGCTGGTACCGCAAGACATTCGAGCAAGTACAACAATAGCTCATGCGATGTTGTATCAAATGCCTTGCGGTAATCAATCCAGGCCATCGATAGATTCCGCTTGTATTGCACAGAATCCTGTGTAATACAGCGGTCTATCAGCAGGCTGTCCTTGCAACCTGCCATGCCCTTCTTGGCACCACGCTGTTCGTGTATCTGCTGGAAGACCGGATCAATAGACCTCAGCGTCCTAGCATACAAGATACGTGTAAATATCTTGTAGCAGGAGTTAAGGCAAGTGATCGGCCTATAATTCCTCGGGTCGGAAAGATCCCCCTTTTTGGGGATTAGCACAGTACGTCCCTCGACGAACCAGTCCGGAATCTGCTGCCCCTCGTTCAACCATGAGTTGAAAACTCGCGCCAGACGGCGGTGAGTGGAAGGAAATTTCTTCCACCACCAGTTGTTAATGCCGTCTGGGCCCGGGGCAGCGAAGTTCTTGGTACCAACAAGTGCTTGTTGGACTTCCTCCGTACTGATTGCCGGGCACACTTCTTCTGGCTCTTCAAGATGTCTGTGACACAGAGCCTCGAAGTGTGCAATTGATGGAGTGTCGCTATTGAATGGACGCGGCGTTTCGTAGATTCCCTTCCAGAAGGTTTCGACATCTTCTACAGTCGGCGGATTCTCGACAACACGCTGTGGCTCTTGAAAGAGGCGGGAAGGATTCGTACGGAACAAATTGTTTTGTTCCATACTCCTCACCCGTCTCTTCAATGTTTTCTTTATCGCCATGAGTGCTCGTATCCTATCTAGACAGTGCTGCTTGATGGTAAGCATCACTGTCAGATTTAGAGTATGGTGTTGACGTCTTAATCCGGCAGCTATGCGCCGGATCCTGGGAGTAAAAACTCTACCAGTCGTCTTATATTCCACCACACTCTGGATCCGAGAAGCGTGTTGTCTGGCCGACTGTATCTTGCCTTCGATTTTTTTGTACACGCCGCTTGGCTTTTCTCGACTCCGTGATTGGTTGACCTCTCACGGGGGACGAGTTGCTTCGCGGCGTTGTACACGGCACAGTTGATTTGCCAGATGTCTACATCGTCCGGAATTTCCTCATCGATGACCGCGTCCATTCTAGCCAGGTCTTGTGGCTTTAGGTTAGCCCTGGTATTAAGGCTAACCCTCGTCCTTAAGTCTACATCGGTGAACTCTAAAGGATGTTCCCCATCAGCTGGTAATTGCCGCGGTGGTACTACCGCTGGCAGTTCTCCCAGCTGACGGGGTGCCCTTACGTAACCTGTCCTGAGCAGAAAGGATACTTGATCTCTCAGATGTTGTTGAGAAAAGACGCGATGCTCTGGGTGCATTTCGCACCAAAGTGCATGCAATCGCGCCATGTATCCCCTTCGCTCAGGTTCGCTACTCTCGCGGCAGGTCAGCAAGTCATCCCGAAGTTCCCTCGTCCACTTAAAGCGTCCGTGTGCATTATTATTATTATTATTATTATTATTATTATTATTATGGACATAAAAATATAATTCTGTAATACCAGATGCGTCTCAGACATTCTCACACGTACATATCAGATATGCACCAGGTGTCATCGTGGGAATAGCTATTTACATTTGTTCCCACACCCGCATATGACGCATACCGTTTGCTATGTCCAGATGTTGTCTAGGCAGCACATGTTGTTCCCCTTAACGGTTTTGTCTAGTATGACTCATCACATCTCTTATCCCCGCATATCCGTATATGATGTGTCGCGCTCTGATTGGCTTTGAACACTGAACACTGCTCCGTCGCACCGTCATACTCCTATTATTCTTTAGCTACTGGTATTCCATAAAAAAAAAATAAAACTTTATTTGACCAGGGAAAATTTAAACATTCTGTATAAGTCATGAATACATTAGGTTATAGTCCGTTTAATATACAACAATTTTCACATAAGAGATTTTTCTGTCGGTATCTGAGATAATAAGGTTTTTATTTGGACTTACGTCTTAAGTGGTACACCCGGTACATATTTTACCTATTGTTTTTTATATGCATATCCACCTATATTGAAATCGATATCATAAATGACACAATTTTCTTTTCAAAACGCATTCATCATTAACAATTTTTCTAAGGACACTATCAAGATATTCTAAGGATTTTATTTCATTTTGATCTCATGAATACAAAATAAAAAAAAAACATTTTGGAATTTAGGGTAGAATAGAAATATTGAAACGAATAACATTTTCAAATAAAGGAAAAATAAAATTTGTTTTAAGTAAACTTAGAGGATAAATAAAATATTATTGTCTTATTATTTATTTTTTATTAAATATCTGGAGGGTTACATGCTCAATCAAATTATTCTCAAAAGTAACCCAGGTACACAATTTTTCCAATTAAGAAGTATTAAGCATCATGCATAATTCCATTTATTTATTTTTTTAATATATCAGATCATTAAAAATAATTAAGTAAATTATCAAATAAACATTGTAGTTGAGTGGTAAGGACACCTGCCTCTCACCCTGGAGTCCCGGATTCGATCCCCGGTTGAGGAGCTAGGATTCTTTTTAAACCAGAAATTAATCCTACCGTACTCGGACATTGGGTGTGTGTACATTGTCTCTAAATGTGTAGCCCTCTCCCGCACAAGGTACCTTGAAGTACCTTCAGGGATACAGGGGTTGTATTACATGTGGTGTTTAATTTAAAAAAAAACTGTTTTCATAGTAATTAATATTTTTATAATTATAATTTTGTTAACTACATTTTTAAATTAAAATAGAGATACTAATATACATGGGCGTCTGCAGACTTGTAACTAGGGGGTCAACTTACTGGGCATTGCAAAAATATCAACATGATAAAAATGTTTTTTAATTTTATAATAGCAGGTCCAATGTCAACAACAGAAAACAAAAGTACTTTGCAGACTTGTAACTAGGGGGGTCAACTTATTGGGCATTGCAAAAATATCAACATGATAAAAAAAAATTAATTTTATAATAGCAGATCCAATGTAAACAACAGAAAACAAAAGTACTTTTGTGTGTGAAAAGAGAACAAATCAAGATTTCAAAACGCAGTAACGCCAAAATCCATTCTTCTTGAATAAGTCCTTGAAAACCATTAATAATGTAACATATATAACAATTAACAAAAAAAAAATCTCTAACACTGTATTCGTTTCAAGTTCAACCACCCTTATATCTTCGTTATTATAATTTGGATGTAATTCAAATTTTAGTGTATAATGTGTTAAAAATATGTTTTTATGTTATTTATTCAGTTATCCAATATATTAAAAAATCAAAATTTTTTTATGGAGTTTTTACTATGGAGAACATCCGATTCTGAAACCATATTTACCGTATCTTTATTGCTATTATATACGTCATTAAAATTGTAATCACATCCCTATGATAATAACGAAGATATGTGGTGGGACTTGAAACGGGACATACTTTTTAACGCAAAAAATGAGCTCCTACTCACGTTGAACTACATCAAGATATTAATATTTTTCCTTTATATTTTCCTTTAATAATAGTTGGATTTTTGCCGATTTCATCGATAACTGTTTATAAAACTACTGTTAAGAGCGGAAATTTAAAACTGTACCATGCTAACTTAATTTGGATATTTTGACATACATGAATAAAAATAAACATTTGAAGTTTCCAGGAGAGGGGGGTCAAATGACTGGTCTGACCCCCCCTGCGGACACCCATGTTAATATATTTTAATACTACTAAAAATGTTAATAAAAATAATAAATTGGGCTACACGATTCTGGTGCCTAGTCACTGAATCTGTGGGATGTAGGAAGGGGCTGTAGATAATTAGCTGGTGTTTATCATACGAGATCCAGAGGTAACGGAAGGGCTATTAGGCGTTGTAATAACAAAATAATACTAAAAAATCGATAAAAAACGATAATATAATAATAATAGACGTACTTACGACTCATTTCAATTTATGTTTTTACAAACAGGATGAAATGAGATGGATTAAGACACACCCAGCGAACATAGGGACAGGCTCGGTCTATGCCTTACCAGCCAGCTACAATACACTCACACTGTTACGTCCATCTCGCATGTTCAATCGGTCTGTGTTAAAAGTTGACCACATTAGCCGCCATCCAGTGGAAGCCACAAACGTGCAACTGTCTTCCTGTCAGTGAATTTCCTTTAGTTATGTCCATCTTTTTAACTTAGCTACACTGTGCTGATGACGACCAATAAGTTAGAAACACGTGTCCATGGTTTGCATTCTTTATGTGGGAGTATTCGTTAAACAAATTGTTTTGTACTGTAATGTATATAATCTCGCGATATAACATGATTCTCTGTACGTATATATTCGCCTGGGTCGGAAATTCCACACAGGTGGCTATAGTTAATGAGATATAAGGCACTGAAATGTTTTTTTTTTATGATTTTTTAACTTCATAGATCAAGCTCAAAATCAGTACAGGTAGGTTTTTTATGATAGATAGATAAATAGATAGAGAGATAGATTTATTTACCAATCATAGATACAAAATTTGTACATTTGGCACGTCAAACATGTTAAAAAATAGAGAAAAAATGATATGATACAATATTAAAATGAAAAAAAAATTTTTTGGTCTTTTAAATAAAAAAAAATATATGAAACATTACAACGTTAACATTTAACAAACACATAAACATTTAAAACAGTATTGTATGTAAAAGGTACAATATGGTCATAAAATATATTACACTAAAATAAATATAAAAACGCACTGGTAGATAAAAGATAAAATAAAATGTAATGAACTAGTTACTTGTGAGTAGTTTTAAATGAATGAATGATTTGACCAAAATTTGCATACCGATGGCTTAGACTGCAAACCGGCTAACTCCACTTTTTACGGAATTTTAGATTTTGGTGCCATCTGCTAGTAAAAATAAAAGTCCATAGTGTGGTAAAGCAAATAACTCCAAGACATTAAGGTTTTCTTTAAATTTCACGGTACGTATACCAGCTATCTCCACGATATAAAATTTCAACACTGTAAAGCTGCTAACTCCTGTATCAGCAGCCATTTTCAATGTGCGAATTAACCAAAATAGTTCACAATTCTATTATTAGCTGCCAATTTTCAGTTTAGAAGTTAAAATAATATATAAAAACATTATTATAAGTGCATAAATGTAAAAAAATTTATGTGGATGGTTTAGTACAAATTTTACCTACTAATCGTCACAGGGACAGAGAAGATCCATCAATATCGAGAAAAACTTGTTCTGTAATCTATAACTTGAGAAAAGGGGATGGATTAGTAAGAGTCTGTAAGACAATGTTTTTGAATACATTGTGTATAGGGAAATGGTGCGTACTAAATTGGAAGAAATCATTGAAACAAAATGATGTTATTGAACCAAGCGAAGAAAAAGATTCGTTATTACCAGCTCTTAAAAAATCAAATAAAATCAATCCTTTCACGAAAGAAAACAAAGCAATCAATGATTTTCTTAATGAATTGCTGACGATGGAGTCACATTATGGTCGGAAATCAACAGAAAAAAATTATCTCTTATCTGAATGGCCATCGAAAAAAGCCCTCTACCACTACTACGTGAAAAAATGGTGTGAAGAACGTAATATAAAATCCCTATCTGTATGTACATTTAATAACGCTATGGATATAAGAAACATCTCCTTATATCAGCCCAAAAAGGACCAATTTCAAATTTGTGATTCACACAAGTTGGGACACTATTCAAATGATCAACATATCTTACATATTGAAAAGAAAAAAGATGCTACAAAAGAAAAACAGAAAGGCAAGGAAAGAGAAGATTATGTGTTCACTATGGACCTGCAAGCTGTTCTTTTATCACCACAATCCACTGTATCCAGTTTATATTACAAAACTAAGCTTTGCATTCACAACTTTTGTTTATTCAACTTAATATCTAAGGAAGGAACTTGCTATTTATGGAATGAATCAGAGGAGGGAGGGCTAAATGCAGAAGAATTTGCTACAATTGTGGTTAAATTTTTATTGGAAAAAGTGATACCTCAGTTGAAAAAAAGCTGACAGTATGCATGCCATGATAGAAAAACAGTTAAAAAGCATAAAGTGATCAATATCCCTGCTGAGTACATTGATGTATGTATCAAGACTAGAAGAAGTCCCGAGCCATATAATGTCTACTACTTGACTCATGATATTTTTAAAAAGTTTGATGTCGAAATTTTCAAGTCGGTACGGCCTGGGAAAAAAAGGGTAACCCCAAAGTTACCGATGTGCGTGCCCTTCAATATAATTTTGATGGTGAAATTTTTTTTAAATTACGATTTGCGGATGACTGGACCTTACTACCTCAAAAGCGAGATAGAGAAGTTAGAACAAGAACTTGGGATAAATTGCCGAAATTATACACAAACCGGTGTAAAATTAAAAAAAAAGAAGTATGGGCATCTTCAAGAATTAAAAAAGGTGATTCCTTCTGATTACCATGACTATTACGACAACATTCCGTATGAAAATTAAGTTAGATTCCTTAAACTGATCTATAGATCAGTACGCAAAGTGAGATTTTGTTTTTTTCTTTATTCTTAATAAGAACCAATATTTCGTTTGTTATTTTTGATAAAAATATTTGTTTAATGATATCTGCGAGTTACAGTAATATTGTTTAGAAATTAGAGAATAAACGTCTAACTCCAAAATAACTATCTCATTATTTTATAAAAAACTTCTAACTCCTTAATTATCTTAAAAAAAAGTAAAATATAATAAAATTTTAATATTTTTCATTCCATTACCACGTCCTAATTTTAATTTTATAATAATATGGTGATTGCACCATACATTTAAAGTTTACAAAAGCTGTAAATAGTTTTTATTGTCTCCTGTAAAATTTACATTTTTTGGAGTTAGCAGGTTTGCAGTTTAAGCCATCGATACATAATATTTACATAATGCAAGTCAAAAAATTACAGACAAATATATACATACATACATATACACACATATAAATATATATGGGACCTCACAGCATAGTATAATACAGTTAATTTTAATAATTACAAAATATATGTTATTACTAATGTGTATAAATAAAATTATTGTGTATATAAATAAAAACAAACAGAAATCACATGAAATTTAATTACCTAAATATTCATTTACAGAATAGTAAACATTGTTAATTAAAAAATCCTTAACTTCCCTCTTAAATCTATTTACATTATTTATAGTTTTTATTTGATTCGGTAATTTATTGAACATTGTAATAAAACTATAGAGGGGAGAATGTTTGAAAACGGAAGTTTTGTGATTTGGGATACTCGGGGTATTATCACCATGTCTAGTATTGTGAGAGTGGTTACTATTTAATTTCTCAAAGTTACTTTTATTTTTGTAGACATGCATGATGCATTTTAGAATAAATATGGACAGAACAGTCAATATTTTTTTGTCATTAAACACCATTCGACAGGTCTCCAATGGCCGGAGCGAAAAGATTAATCTAATTAATCTTTTCTGCGCAACAAACACTCTAGGAAGACCATTACC